TCTTGACTATTATTCTCGACCTTTTTTTGTTATTACTTTCTTTGACACTGGAGCTTTTAGTTCTATCATCAACCCATCTCTTCTTAACCCTTTTATCAAGTTTCTTGAGTAGCAAATGGGGAAAATTTTGTCATTGACAGAATCAACAAATCAATTCTAAATCCGTCTTTTCCCCAACCTTACCCTTAAACACCGAGTCCTTGGTTCTTCTCTTCCAGGAAAGTACCTTCTGATTGACTTTGACCTCTTGCATAACTTACCTCGTCATCGGTGGACACTTGAACTCCAGTAATCTTCACCAGGATTCTTACTTAAGATACTCAAAATATTGTTTGTCTAAAGTTAAATACTTTTGGTTATTTTCTTAGTGTTTAAATTGATTTATTAGACTAAATACCAAACCTAAAGAATAATTGAGTAGACCAACGGGTCTTTGGTCCAATGATACTCCTTGCCTTGTGAAAACTTTGTCTTCTTAAAATTAAGGGTTCAAACTCCCTTCCCTCTTCCCTCTCCCCTCTCTCCCCCCCCCCCCCAAAAAAAAAAAAAAAAATTNTAGTTGGAAAAAAGAAAACTACTTTGTTCTAATTTGAGTCTTTCTCTTAATCTTAGAGCAACTTTGGAAAACTTAAGGTCTATTTGGTTTGAATTTTGAAAACAATTTTTTGATCTAAAATTTTTAAAACATAAGAGAAACTTGTTTAGTTTGGGTTTTTGTTATCCAATTTTTGGGAAAAGATGGATGTAAAAAACAAAAAATGGATAACAAGCTAGGTTTATTTTTTGTGTTTTGAAGACAAAAGAAAGGAAACACAAGAACACGGAGAACAACCAAATTCTTCATTAATAAGGTCTCCCCTTCAAATCTTCTTAGCAACAAAATATATCCAACTACAAAAAAGTTTTTTTTTATTGCCTTTCTCTATTTTTTTTGGCTCTCTTTCTCTTTCTCTCTCTCTCCACACTCTAGCGAAAACCAGACGAAAGGAAACACACACACGCACATCTGCGATCAAATCTGAGTTTGCTCCAGTGTCGACTCCAAGGTTGATTCCAGTGTCATCTCCTCTCTTTTTCTCTGCAACAGATCCGTGTATATATACAGATCTGTGTTTAGATCTGTATATATACATAGATCTGTGTGTGTGTGTGTATGTGTATTGTGCGATGTATGTGTGTGATGGCTATGTGTGTTTGTTGTATGTGTGGGTGTGTGTTTGTTGTGTGTGAATGCTTGTGCTATGTGATAAGATAATGGAGAGAGAGAGAGAGAAAACTGTTAATGGAGAGAGGAGAAAGAGAGCTACTGTGTGAGAAGATAATAGAGATAGGAGAAAGAGAGGGGGAGAGAAGGCTCTAGAAGACGTGATGCTTGCCTGGAGAGAAATGATTTGTGGTGATAATTTTTTTTTGGGGGTCAAAAGTGATAAGTTAAAAATTAATTTTGTGAATCATTATCCAAACATGTTTTACTATTTTCTGTTTTTTAAAATTATTTTCAAAACCATATAACCAAACAAATTTTGTAATACCAAAATATCAAAAAACATTTTTTTAAAACTCTTTTAAAAAATTATTTTCGAATACTGTTTTTTGATATGCAAACCAAATAGGTCCTTAAGTTCTTCTTTTATTGTAGTAGCAAACTTTTTTTTTTAATCTATCGTTGTTTCCTTTAAAGTGTGATCTAAACCCATATTTTTAATATTAAGTGGTGTTTTGAAAACACTTTTAAGGTTTTCTATTGGAAGATGTGTTGTGATACCATGTTTTTACATTGAAAATATAAAAAATATGATAAAGTGAGATATAAGATTGAAAGTACGATTAAAATGTGATCAAGTTTGAAAACTACGATATTTTTGTGAAAGATTCCATGTAAGAGCATATGTGTTTAGCTATTTATTCCCCTCACATTTGTAGTGTGAATACAATCACATACTATCAGACCCGCTTAGAGCATCTTCAACAAAACATGTAAAACTCTAAAATAGTTAAAATTTAGCTAATCAAAGATAAAAATCATGCTCTAATAGAATATGTTCAGATGCTCTAAATAGTTTTTTGCTACAGTGATACTCCAAATATAGAGTNTGTGTGTATTGTGCGATGTATGTGTGTGTGATGGCTGTGTGTGTTTGTTGTATGTGTGGGTGTGTGTTTGTTGTGTGTGAATGCTTGTGCTATGTGATAAGATAATGGAGAGAGAGAGAGAAAACTGTTAATGGAGAGAGGAGAAAGAGAGCTACTGTGTGAGAAGATAATAGAGATAGGAGAAAGAGAGGGGGAGAGAAGGCTCTAGAAGACGTGATGCTTGCCTGGAGAGAAATGATTTGTGGTGATAATTTTTTTTTGGGGGTCAAAAGTGATAAGTTAAAAATTAATTTTGTGAATCATTATCCAAACATGTTTTACTATTTTCTGTTTTTTAAAATTATTTTCAAAACCATATAACCAAACAAATTTTGTAATACCAAAATATCAAAAAATATTTTTTTAAAACTCTTTTAAAAAATTATTTTCGAATACTGTTTTTTGAGATGCAAACCAAATAGGTCCTTAAGTTCTTCTTTTATTGTAGTAGCAAACTTTTTTTTTTAATCTATCGTTGTTTCCTTTAAAGTGTGATCTAAACCCATATTTTTAATATTAAGTGGTGTTTTGAAAACACTTTTAAGGTTTTCTATTGGAAGATGTGTTGTGATACCATGTTTTTACATTGAAAATATAAAAAATATGATAAAGTGAGATATAAGATTGAAAGTACGATTAAAATGTGATCAAGTTTGAAAACTACGATATTTTTGTGAAAGATTCCATGTAAGAGCATATGTGTTTAGCTATTTATTCCCCTCACATTTGTAGTGTGAATACAATCACATACTATCAGACCCGCTTAGAGCATCTTCAACAAAACATGTAAAACTCTAAAATAGTTAAAATTTAGCTAATCAAAGATAAAAATCATGCTCTAATAGAATATGTTCAGATGCTCTAAATAGTTTTTTGCTACAGTGATACTCCAAATATAGAGTATCATTGTAGCAACTTATATAAATACTTTATAATTTTTTTTTCTCTTCTCCAATGCGGTGCACGAGATTTTCCATATTGTAGAATTTAGAGAAGGTTAGATATACACACATTACTTAAAATGGGGAGAGATTATTTCTACGACTTAAACCTTTGCTGCCGAAGATTATCTTGTTGAAGACCAGGTTTCTAACCATCCTAGGCAACAGTAGTTCACCCTTTGTTTCTCTGAAGTTTCTTGCTTGTAAATGTTAGCATTTTCCATTGGTTAAAAAGACCACAAGAGAAATACTGCTTTCTACTTTATTTACGAATAATCTTACTTTTATCAGTCTAATGTCTTAAAAAAGTACTAGGAAGCATCCGAGAGAAGTGATGCCCCCACAAAAGGTGCCAAAAAAACGCTCTCCAAAGTAGTAGGGGACATGCTGCCCCTAAAGAATAGGCCTTCAAGTACAAAGGAGGGTTATGTAGGCCACAAGACAAGATTACTGTGTCTTGTTCGCTGCCTAAACCGATAGCACCAAGTATCCTTTTGAAATGTGCGATTCGGCCGAGTCATCTCAGACGTCTGAGTTGTCCAAGTCGCCACCATAGAATTTGGCTGATTATATTCTTTAATGTTGTGGTATACATCTGAAATCTGAATCTCTTGTCATGTTTTGAATTTTTTCATCTATCGTGTCTTGTGCTTCATTTAATAGTGTTCACGACACTTCGACGGATATGTTTTAGTGTCTTTTGAGTCAATTGTGAATACTATAACATTGAACCATGAAGTGCAAGGACTTGTTTCTTCTGTCTATTATTCATCTTGGCACTTGCTGTGCAACAATTGATGGTCCAAGTTTGTGTCTTTTTCTCCGCAGCAACATGCATTGGTTTCCCACTGCTTAGGTGACAATTTCGTGGATATTCATATTTTGCATAATTTGAGACGAATAGATATCTTTTTTTTTTTTAAACTCTAAGGATAGCCTAGTGGAGACAAAAATGAGTTGTAAATTTATCTCTGATGAATTCACTAATCTCGATATGAATGACTTGTTTTTGATCGAATTGATAAGATAATTAGTCGAGGTGCACCTAAACTAATCCAGACATCTTTAACTGTAATACCAAAAATAAATATCTATCTTTTTTGGTGAAAGGTAATGGACTTAATACATTGATTTCTTTCTCGTGCTTCTAAGTTCAACTCTTATGAAGAGAATCTCAATTTGCTCGGTACGCATGGTTGGTGCATGACATCCAAAAATTGTAGAAGTGTGCTTGAGACCACTGTCCGGTATAAGTAAAAGAATTAGGGGTAACCCCAAAAGATAGCTCAAATAGTAATAGGAACGATTTGTAAACTCATTTGAGTTTGAATTTTGATAATTTCATGGGTGAGACCAGGTGAGATTTATCCCTTATGAATACCTTAGTCCCAGTGTGATTGATCTACCTTTTACTAGAAAAGGAATTAATCGAAATGCACGTAAGTTTCTATGTATTAAACCAAAAAACAAAAAAAGAAGAAGGGGTGACTTGTGCTAAAGNCAGTGTGATTGATCTACCTTTTACTAGAAAAGGAATTAATCGAAATGCACGTAAATTTCTATGTATTAAACCAAAAAACAAAAAAAGAAGAAGGGGTGACTTGTGCTAAAGCAAGAAAACCTAATAAGGAAGTTACTTCACCTCCGTATTGAAATACCAAAGTACAACTCGACTGATTTTCATAGTGCTTATAGTCCTATGGTAATCTCCATGAATAGATAGACATTGGAACAATAGTGCAGCTCCAATCATGTGTACCTGCCAAATACCCTCTCTCTCTCTCTCTCTCTCACACAGTCATGACTATGAAAACAGTATCCTTTCGGATATAGAATAAATCAGTTACTTCCTATCAATTTTTTTCTACCAAGGCATATTAATTTCCCTATTCAACCGAGGAGAGACTCAAAAAAAAATACTATCTCATGGAGTCACCAAGGAAACTGTTATGTGCTTTTGAGACCTCAAGCACCATCTCTGCACCAAGGGCCTCCCTATCCCCAGATTCATCCATGCAAACCCCGAAGGAGAACATCCAAGAACAAAGAGAAGCTGATCCACGACAAGAATCACAGACTGATGTCCAACCAAATATAGAGCACGCCCACGAGGCCTGCAATCACACTCACAGGTTCAATCCAGAACTCAATCTTATTGATTGTTTGAACTTGGCCTCGTCGAAAACTTCATCAGAAACTCCACAAGAATCTGATCCTCACCCAAGAGTTTTCTCATGTAACTATTGTCAAAGAAAATTTTATAGTTCACAAGCACTAGGGGGACACCAAAATGCCCACAAGAGAGAGAGGAATCTAGCAAAAAGAGGACAGAAAATTGGGGCATCCTTTTTGGCTGCATCGGAAGTTTTTGGGCACTCCTATCTGAACAACCACCACCACCACCACCAACAGAATTACTCAAACATAGCCTCTCTTCCTCTTCATGGTGCTTATCATTACAAGTCTTTTGGAATCCAAGCACACTCAATGATCCATAAGCCTTCCTATATACCAAGTGGGCATAAGAGTTTTTATGGACATGGTGGATGGGTAAGTCCTTCAATAGATCAACAACCGGCTATTGGAAAGCTAGCAGTAGAGAATTATCATTCAAGTGTATCAACAGGCCTTTCCTCCCGAGGCACTATAGGGAAATTTGACATGGTAAGGACGATAATGGCTTCTCCTACCGATGAAGTGATCGTAGGTCGTTGGTGTGCTGATAGTGGACATTTGAAGAGTAATCAGGATGAAATGCAGAATCTTGATTTATCACTCAAGCTCTAATTCAGTGCCATTTTTCTCGGTTTGATCAAATTTTATATATGTGATCTTTCTTTCAGCCTGGTTGAATTTTGGTTAGAGTTCTTCTTGGAATATTTTTGTGTATACTTGATCATTGAAAAGTACAAAAAATTTTATTTTGTTCTTGACTTGGAACTATTCAGCTTACCCTATTAGATATATTCCATTATCTCTCTAAAAGTGAAGATGGTTATTGGAAACATTGTAGAGTCCCTTCACCCTCTAGAGCACATTTCTGTTATTGTATATGAAGGCTATGCTTTAAAATTTACCAGCCCAACAGCTAAAGATTAAGTTCTCTCTCTCTCTCACCCCTAATCTAAATGTTTATGACAGGGAAGAATTGTGCAAGAGCTTCTTTTGTTTATTCCAGATAAATTATAATGCCTCTAAAATTCCATGGACCAGCAAAATTACTCTTCGGAAAATGTTATTTGAGTATTATTTTTTAATAAGTGGTGTTTGTTTTACGTTTTTTCATATTTTTTTGACTTTTTTTGTGCCCGAATTTGATCTCTTTCTTCAAATTTAATTGCATGAATAGTCATATGCATATCTATGTATACAAGTGTGTTATTCATACATTAAAATAGTGTAAAAATCACGTATGCAAAATAATAATGAACCATCTTCGGTCCATCGAAGTGACATAAACCTACATTTAGTACGACTCTAATTAAAAGAAGAGATAACAACTGCAAACCAAGTTGAATATCAACCAACAGTAGTATGTAGGACCTCAATCATTTTTGATATAACAAATTCCATCCAAATAAATATGAACAAAGTCCTATAGATTCAACCAACCAATAGCATGAAAATTCACGAAGTAAACAATAATACTTCCCTAATCAACTTTTGTTACCAACTTTACTTAATCTCGGACATAGCGCAACTGTAACCCCTATATGTAAGTAGAATCTAATTCGACCTATTACCTAATGGCAATTGAGTTGGGAAGAGATAATTATTTAAAAAAAAAAGTTGGTTGGAGTTAGCAATATATTGAGAAAAAAAATATTGTAATCAANTCCTTAATCTCGGACATAGCGCAACTGTAACCCCTATATGTAAGTAGAATCTAATTCGACCTATTACCTATTGGCAATTGAGTTGGGAAGAGATAATTATTTTAAAAAAAAAGTTGGTTGGAGTTAGCAATATATTGAGAAAAAAAATATTGTAATCAAGCCATATACACCTTATGACAGCTCAAATTAATTTTAGGACGTTGTCGCTAACTCCCTTGTTTAAATAAACCCTGAAACACTATAAACAAAAGGCATAACATGAAACATGTGAAGCTGTCAACTACAAACATATTATGAAAACCAATAGAATGATTTGGATAAACATTTGATGTATCTCTTAAGAGAAAAATAAGAGAGAGGAAAAAAGACTGTTACTTTGTTCCCGTGCGGACTTTTTAAGTAGGAAATGTTCTAGTTTATGTTAAACTAATTAAGCTTATGCTTGTCTTCTTTCAAGACAGTGTACGGCGACCCATTAATTATTTGAGCACTAAATCTAGGAAGATTTGGTTGAATTGTTAAAGTCTAATCTGATAGTCAGTCTCAATAGCAACATATTTTTATTAAGAAANTTATTGGAAGGTTAAGAGTCATCCACCTTATACACAATGTACAACAATATTTACAACACTTTTTCTTGGATGACAATTATGCTAAGATAATATGTCTCGTTAAATCTTGCTAGGAAAACTTTGTGAAAAAATCAAACGACGGAAAAAGAGTACATATTCAGATGAATCTTAAAATAGCGTTGGACGCACTAATACTACCTCATTAAAACGAAGATCCAATGAGACAACCAAAACAAAGGAAAAAGAGCATAGTGTGCATATTGTTCTTTATCTTGATGTGGATACTCCCCCTAATGAAATTTTTCCCTTGATAAACTAGATTGGCCAGAAACCCGACCCATTGCAATGTCATATACTAATTTCTTGAAAGTTGATGATAATAAAGTTTTAGTTAATAAATCTGAAATATTGTCACTAGATCGTATCTACTTTATTTCAATTTTATGGTTCTACTAGAGTTCATGAGTGTAGAAGAATTTTGGCGAAATATGTTTGATTCTATCACCTTTGATAAATCCTCCAATTTATGCAATACAAGCAACTTGATCTTCAAATAAGGGTGTTGGTGAATCTGTAATCAAAAGGAGTCTGCAAGGATTTCGGATGTGATGGACTACAGACCTTACCCACAAACATTCATGGCTTGTTTCATGGACTACAAATATCTCAAAATGATTGGAAGATGTAGCAATCAAAGACTGCTTGGTAGATCGCTATGTCACCATATGTGAAAACATACCCAATTTGTGAACGAGCCTTATGGGTATCTGATAGGTATCCAGAATCTACATAACCGACTAAATATGAACCATTGACTAATGACTTTGAGTATGACAAACTCAAATTTGTAGTTCCACGATGGCAGCATAGGATATGTTTTACGTCATTCCAATGTCGTTGAGTTGGTGTAGAACTAAATCTTGCCAACAAGTTGACTGCAAATACTATATCATGCCTATTACATTGTGCTAAGTATAACAAAGCACCAATTGCACNAAGCCATATACACCTTATGACAGCTCAAATTAATTTTAGGACGTTGTCGCTAACTCCCTTGTTTAAATAAACCCTGAAACACTATAAACAAAAGGCATAACATGAAACATGTGAAGCTGTCAACTACAAACATATTATGAAAACCAATAGAATGATTTGGATAAACATTTGATGTATCTCTTAAGAGAAAAATAAGAGAGAGGAAAAAAGACTGTTACTTTGTTCCCGTGCGGACTTTTTAAGTAGGAAATGTTCTAGTTTATGTTAAACTAATTAAGCTTATGCTTGTCTTCTTTCAAGACAGTGTACGGCGACCCATTAATTATTTGAGCACTAAATCTAGGAAGATTTGGTTGAATTGTTAAAGTCTAATCTGATAGTCAGTCTCAATAGCAACATATTTTTATTAAGAAAATTATACTTTAACCCCTTTAACTATATCATAAATAGCTTCTCAACCGTCATGATGTTCGTCATACTACATCTACAACTATAGCTACCAGTTTTATATTGTCGCAATTGCAGATTTCTGTTATATATTAGAAGTAAAGTTTGTTACTTTGTCATCTGAACTGTCTGAATGTATTTCACTTTGCTTAAAAATCTATTGTCAGGTGGACAATGTTAGTCCAAAGCATCGTGAAAGTTTGATTTGTGACATTATAGAACCAATTCAAAAAGTTTTTGGGGGCAATATGAAAAATCCAATCGTAGATTGTCGAGGGGAAAAATTAGAGCACGATCACATGCTAAGGATGCAAAGTATGATTTGCCCTCTAATTAATTCCACAAAGTAGTTTATTGTTTACAGTTGATGGGATTTAATTAAGCATCCCTAGCCCTGGAAATAAGGGTTATTGTTAGTGCCTGATGACAAAAGTTCACTTCTCACTCTATCTTCATATAGGTTTGTTTATTACCAACTATAGAACCTAACCCNTGTACCAAATTTTTTTTTTATAGGCCTTCAAACATAATGACCATCAAAGATAATATTAAAATGGTATATCAATGGGTAGGGGATTATAGGCTAATTCACTAATACCCATTAATTCTTATTTACTTAGGATACTAATTGGAAGGTTAAGAGTCATCCACCTTATACACAATGTACAACAATATTTACAACACTTTTTCTTGGATGACAATTATGCTAAGATAATATGTCTCGTTAAATCTTGCTAGGAAAACTTTGTGAAAAAATCAAACGACGGAAAAAGAGTACATATTCAGATGAATCTTAAAATAGCGTTGGACGCACTAATACTACCTCATTAAAACGAAGATCCAATGAGACAACCAAAACAAAGGAAAAAGAGCATAGTGTGCATATTGTTCTTTATCTTGATGTGGATACTCCCCCTAATGAAATTTTTCCCTTGATAAACTAGATTGGCCAGAAACCCGACCCATTGCAATGTCATATACTAATTTCTTGAAAGTTGATGATAATAAAGTTTTAGTTAATAAATCTGAAATATTGTCACTAGATCGTATCTACTTTATTTCAATTTTATGGTTCTACTAGAGTTCATGAGTGTAGAAGAATTTTGGCGAAATATGTTTGATTCTATCACCTTTGATAAATCCTCCAATTTATGCAATACAAGCAACTTGATCTTCAAATAAGGGTGTTGGTGAATCTGTAATCAAAAGGAGTCTGCAAGGATTTCGGATGTGATGGACTACAGACCTTACCCACAAACATTCATGGCTTGTTTCATGGACTACAAATATCTCAAAATGATTGGAAGATGTAGCAATCAAAGACTGCTTGGTAGATCGCTATGTCACCATATGTGAAAACATACCCAATTTGTGAACGAGCCTTATGGGTATCTGATAGGTATCCAGAATCTACATAACCGACTAAATATGAACCATTGACTAATGACTTTGAGTATGACAAACTCAAATTTGTAGTTCCACGATGGCAGCATAGGATATGTTTTACGTCATTCCAATGTCGTTGAGTTAGTGTAGAACTAAATCTTGCCAACAAGTTGACTGCAAATACTATATCATGCCTATTACATTGTGCTAAGTATAACAAAGCACCAATTGCACTTAGGCCTAGTACTTGAGGACTAAGAAACATTTTATTTTTCTCCTTAGTACGAAAATGGTCCTTATTGACATCAAAAGATCAAACAACCATTGGAATATTTAACGGATATACTTTATCCCTATTGAATCGCTTTAGGACCTTTTCGATATAGGTTATTTGATGGATAAAAATTATGTTTAACGTATACTAGACCTGCAGGCCAAGATAGTATTTTGTTTTTTCAAAATCCTTAATTTCAAATATTCAGTAGCTTTTATCAACTCTTCAGGAGTACTAATCAAATTTATATCATCATCATATTACAATGATGGCAAA